GCTATGTATTTTTTAAATGAAGGTCTTATGTATTTATTATGTTTTTCCATCTTTCATTGCTAGAATTCATGCTTGGCTTTCATACAGAAGATGAAGTTGTGCACGTCACTAGTAGTTGGTCTAATATCGTGATACAATGATGTCATTTCTTACAAATAGATCTATACAGGTGCAGCATTTCTATACTTATAGGATAACCAATATTATTCAGGCATCTTCTATGCCATCTGCTTTGAAATTAATGTTAATTTCAACCTTACAGTGAGTAACTAATTTGATCTCCTTACATGTTGTTTTGAAGTGAACTACTTAAAATACAAGTATCTAAATGTCAGTAAATATTATCAGTTTCATAATTCTCAAAGAAAAAAAGGAGCAATTTATTCTTTAAAGGAGCATATCTTGTTAGAATCTTAGATACTAATTTAAATGAAAGTATTCTTTGTCATTATTAAAGCAGTATGTAATTGAGTGAATTGTCTTCAAAAGAAATTTCAAGGGTACTTCTTTGCCAACATAAAGGATACGATTTTCGGATAGTTCTGGAACAAATCAGAAGTTTCACTATTTTAGTGGATTATGACACAGGACTTCAGAAAAATGTTCAATGATATTATAAAGATAGAGAGCAATGTATGTTAAAGTTTCATTTCCTAAATATATGGCAATGTAAGATAAAGCATTTAAAATTAATCCAGTCTCCACACTTGATTTTAAGACACAAATGAGGCAAGGGTGTTTTGTTTATCAAAGAGCGCCTGGTCAGTGGTTTAGGTAGAGTCATGACTTATTTTTTTTCCATGTCAGGAAAAACATTAAGCTTCCAAGGCATAATTTTAATATTTCTAGTAAAGTTTGAAATAGCTTCCTTCAATATAGAAACTTCTATGAAAGTGCTATGTCATAGTATATTTTTTAAAACAAATAATTTAAGAGTTTAATGCTCTCATCCCACCCCCCACCCCCGAGAGTAATGGGGGAAAAATGGGGGCAACTGTAATTGAACAACAGTAACATTATTTCAAAAGAGTTTAATGTTTCTAGTGTTTAAAAAAGATATTTAGGATATTGGCAATTCTTGTGTCTGGATGGAAAAGTTATATGTGATTAGTGTGCGTTTTTGGATATCTTGCTCAAATCATTTCAGATAATGATAATAATCAAAGTGTATTGTCACATTAAAGAAGTTGATACACTATCACTGGCTTTTGTTGTAGAGTTCAAAGTACTCTTAATTCATATAATTGCTGAGACAAAGATTTTTAAACCGAACAAAACCAAGTTACCGTAATTACACCAGCCTGTTAAAAATATGAGTGGTTGTCGACATGGTTACAGTAATTCAGAGTAGACACTTCCTTTGAAAGCAGTTGTAAATGTACTCTTGCCTTTGTGAGAAGGTAGTTTTACATTGTGCGTGCACATACACACAAACATACCCAAATGTGTAGAAATTTACAAGAGCCTGTGGATCCTCTGTTTAGAAAGAACCCTGTGATGATTCAGCTTTACAAAGGGAAGAGAGAGCAGGTGTTTCTGACTTCTCCAAAGGGTAATGGGCTTAAACTCTCGTAGGCCGGATTCACCTTAGATATAAAGCAGTGTCGTGATGTGAGGCTCATTACACATTTGGATGAGCTCCGGAGTAGGTTTCTGAACTCTGCCCCTGAAGTGTTTCCCTGTAGTGGAGAGTCTCAGTCACCTGGGATGTTTAAAGGCTGTTCTAGTTTTCAGTTGCAGAAACAAATTAGATCACTTCACAAGCCTTATTTATTGCTTTGGCTTCTGCGGTTTGTACTGTCATAAAGTATAAAGGGTTTTTTGTTTTTATGCACGTATAAGAATGTGAGTATTGAAATTATTAAATTGTCATGTTAGTATATTCACAAAATTATTCTTACTGGGATATTATGTGTTATTATACATGGTATAAATAAGATATTAGCACTGACATTTTTACAACTGATTTTGCAACATACATGTTTGTAGTCATTCTTCTTAAGTCATTAATTACAAATTTTAAAAGCTCTATAGTTTAATTTTATACTTTACAAATTATCAAAGGCAATAACAGGGTTGCACAATATAAGAAAAATATGCATCATTAAACTTTCATTAAAAGTATGTATATATACTAGATATACATATATATGCTAAATATACACATACATATATATGCTAAATTATAAGAAGGTAGATATTTGAATATAATTTTTCCATCGAGTGATTTTTTTATCTGTGGTTTGGACAGTGAGATAAATGTCTTAAATATAACATTTCTATGACTCACTATGAAGAATAAATGCAGTGAAGGAATAAATAGAGGTAAAAAGGAATACTAATAGTCTCTTTCCTATTACTTTGGATTTGACTGAAAAGAAAATCTTTCATCCATATCAAGTGACCAATTCCCCTCATATGGTGATGAATAGCTAGAGGAAAATGCATTGAAATTTTCCAACTATGCTATGATAATTCTAAAACATATAGAACATAGCAGAAAACAGAGAGATTCGATGTATTTGACCCATTCTCTCAAGCCTGAAATGCTTCAGCAAATGCATAGTCATAATAGTTAACACTGTGGAGTAACTGCCGTTGGCACTGACTCTAAAATGTAATAACATTGATTTAAAAAAATAATATTTGTGTGCTACTTGTCTACTATTAACTCATAATGTCCCAAACAATAATGATTATTCAGTATTCACACATTCACCCCTTAAAGGTCTTGGAACGAGATGTGTGTGACTATGACTTCAGTAATAATATAATATTTCATTTTCCTAGTTTGTCTGACAGTGTTTCACATTTGGCAAATTAGCTTCTGTGATGGAGGAAGTCGTCCCTCCCCATTCTAATTTGTGCTGACCTTCAATCTCTGTCCTTATACATGTCCTATTTAGATTTGCATCACTGAATTAACAGAGAGGTCAGAGGAGGTGTAGTTAATACAAGATGATTATATTATTCAGATAATACTGGAATAGGTGTGCTTTAAATAAAAGCAGATCACAGTAACCCTAAGCAGAGATCAACATATGCCTTTTAAGCTTATGTTTATATTAAAGATATTGAGTATAAAGTGCTGAACTTCTGGATTCTTATAACTATGAATCACTTTCATAACACAACTTCTTTCTGTATTCTAAGTCAAACGAACATATAATATTGATGTTAGTAGCTTGTCTCATAAGTAATTTTTAACCAAATTAGAAATATTTTACAGATTTAAAGATGTGTTAGGTCGACTAATTTCTGAATTTACACTAAGAGGTAGCTTTTCAATATATTCATTTCTTTCAAGATAATATCTTGTGTAATTGTTAATGGTGCTCTCTTTCTCTTACACAATTGTTTGAAGTATAAGTTATTTGGTCACTGTAATTATTTATTCTAATTTATTTTGTAAACCTGAATTTCTATTGTAACAATTCTAGTTTAATGAATAATTTTAAATTCTGATTGGTATAAACAAAATGTATTTGAAGCATTTATACGCAAGTTTATCATAAAGCAGGATATTGAATTCAGGGGCATAGAAAAATAGGATTGGATTCTTTTAAAAGATTCCTTTAAAATAATGTCTATGTGCTAATAGAATAGTCTCTGTAGTATTTGACCAGATAAGTTGTAATAGTTACCATGTGGTCCCATGTTGTTGCTAACTCATTTATTAATTCATTATATTATATGATATAAAACAAAATACATTTGGTTATTCTCAATGCTGGTAACTGTGCAGGGCACGCATCTCTTCATTTGTGCTTTGATTTCTGGAATCGTAGTGGCTGGCCTCTACAATGTTAATCACTGCGTCTCTGCTCAAAGGTGAACTAGTAAAGAAATGGGTGGTGGCCTGCTCAGAAACTGGATTTGAGAGTGAATGTAACTGACAAATCAGGGACAATAAATTAGGAAAAACGTATAAGTAGATGATCTGTTTGAAATGAGTGGAAATACCTTAGGAGAAGAATTGCACTGATCAGCATATTCTTTCGTTTGTCAAAAAAAAAAGATGCCAATTATTCACCAGATTAAAAAAATTCAGTCATGCACTGTAGTTTAGTTCTTAATTTTTAATGAGATATTCCTACAGGTAATTGAACCATCTTGATTTTCAGCTCATCTTTAATATACATCTAATATGTGCCAGTTACTGATCTAAGGGACACAGGTTTCTGTTCTCATTGAGCTCATGGTATAATATCAAAGAGATTGTGGATAAATGAGGAGAAATGGACTTTATCACTATAAATGTACACAATACTTTAAAAGCATAAAATCTGAATGATTGAACCTGAATGTATTTCAACACATTTTATAAGATTGGACCAAATTTGTTATCTTTTCTTTTTCTTCGCCTTTACCCTATGAGAAAAACAATTCATTTCAGTGGATACATTTATGCATTTAAAAAATATGCAGACCATAAAAAGGTTTGGTTTTCATATAATTTGAAAAATGAGATAAAATAAACCTAGAACATGTTAATCATCCTTTACTTCTTTAATTACATAAACATTTCCTGGTACAGTTTTCTCTATTAGATATTGATTTAATATATGTAATTTAGAGTTTATTAAATTATATGTATAACGAGTTGTTCACAGATATTCTAAGGACTTGTTCTAAAAATGTAAGAGCCACACATTTTTTCAATACTCTGATCGTGTATGAATTATGAAGTAGGGATTGGTTTATTGATAATTTTTAAAAGTTAATCTCACATAATTGGTGGTTCACGTATGAAGTACACATTTCCCACACAAAACCTATTTGTAAAAATATCCAAATTGTCATCTTCAGAAAGCCCGACAACAGAACAACTGTGACCAATAGCAACCAAGGTAAATACTGAAACATTTTGACAGTATGGGGTCTTGTCTGGGCATACGATGCGTTTCCACGTATATTTGTGTCTGTTAGGATAATGCTCAATTCTGCACACCAGAAGTCGAGCTCATTTTCTTATAGTTTTTTTTTTTTCTTTTTCGCAGCACGGAAAAGGATATGCTAGTCAATTCTACAGGACTTCCCTGAAGCAGCATGATTTGCACAAAGTCGACCAACAAAAGCATCAACTTTTCAACTTCATTATCTTGGCCATCCAGTTAGTTGTGTGTAACTGAGTAGTCGATCGCCCCCGCAGTCATCGTGGCCAATTAGAGGACCTCTTTGCTCTCAGCAGGCCTGAGAAATGAGTTGAAATGTGCAGAACTGTAGAAACTTTGGGCAACGGATTTTGCCTCTCCGATCAGTGTGTGCCTGTTTACAGCACTATCTATCTTACTCTCTCCAAATGTCACTGAGCCCTTTCATGTTTATATTCACCACGAGAAGCCAGTCATTAAGGATAAAGGAAATTTGTGCATTACAGATGCAATATCACTGTTTTCAACTTGACTGTTTTATATTATTTTTGTGTGATCAAGTGTTCCCCAAACTATTCCAACTTTACCAGAGAGATTGTGATTATGTTCTTTTCACCTGTGGGTTATAAAAAAATGTATTCTGAAGACCCACAAAATATCAAAGACATTCTGTAGTTTATACACCGTGTTGCAAAGTGTTTACTGTACTATTTCAAAGCTTCTAAATAAATATAAATATATATTATATTATATAATTTTCCTAAAATGTGGTACAACTCAGTTGGTTTTTAAATGGATTCATACAGTCCACATCATACAATAAAGTAAAAGGTAATTCAGGGTCCCAAAGATAAACGTATGAAGGAAAAAATAAGCATTAATAGTTTCCTCCCAGTTTTCATATCTTATTCAACCCTGTTTTCCCTTGTTTAAAAGAAAACGAAGCTCTAAGCTACAAAATTTTGCCAAGAACTTGTACTGAATTTTCAATGCCAAAGATATAGCTGCCGACATTATCAGAGGAGCACTGAACATGTACTATCAAAATACCTAACAATTTACGTTATTTCGATTCTATTTCTATGGCTTTGAATTTAGAATCATTTAAAGCTTTTATAAAGAATCAATACATCCATCTGTATCTGTTGTTAGGGAAAAAAAACAAACACTGGGTATCTGTACATTTTGTGGTGTAAAATATGTAATTGAAGATTACTATTTTAAGAAGTCCTCAATCATATAACTTACACAGAATTTTATTTTACATAGTTTTGTGACTTCTAATAACATGCGTATAAAATCTATTTATAACTCTATATGAATATATAGAGATATATAAATACCTGAACTGATAATGAATACCTATAAGATATTAAGAATCTCTAAATTTAAAACAAATTTAATAAATTTGGAGATAGAAACATGGTACATTATTGTTTCAATATTATCTGATGTGTGAAAATTTTATAGCTTAAATGTAGTCAGTGTTGTTTTAATGAGAAAATTCTTCATGAGTCAGCCTTGAAAAGTGAAGCCTGCCTTTTACTTTATGTCAACAAGATTAATTACTAAATTCAGTAGAGTGCATTTTTTTCTTTACACATATTCCTTTATTTCTACTACTATCTATTGCTTATTGAAACAAAATTAAAAGAGGAAAAAATCTGAGAATGTGAGATAAACTTCTAAACAAACAAACAAAAAAACAGAATTGTCACAACTTCCCATAAAAACAAAAACAAAAACAAAAAACTTCAACATTATATCTAAAGGTTTGCCCAATCCAAATTACAGACCTACTTGGAAATATTTCCCTTACTTTTTACCTGATCTTATTTTACAATGATAGTTTGGGCAATGCTATGTTATTAAAGAATAGACTAAAAATTAACTCATAACAAATGTTTTCCACCTAATTTTATGTCATTTAATGGGGAATATTTTCCTTAGGTTTAACATTAAAATGCATACATATATTCATAGATCTTTGATGTGTATATTTGAGAGATATCTTGGTATCACTTGTTTGACTGTTGTCAAATTAGATATTAATGTCATAATCACAATCAGTTTTTATAACAAAATAATGTGTGTAATGTTCCAGTCTTTTGGGGACCCTTTAAAAATATATCAAATTCATCATCTATGACACAAAAAGCACATATGTTCACTAAGTGCAGCGGTAAAAATTTCTCAAACTTTTGGCATTGCTACATTAATATTTTGAATGATGGACTATTTTAGTAAGAAAATGTTTCTATATAATTTAACTAGAAAAAGTGTGTTTGTTGTAATTGCTTTTTAAACAAGAAAATCATTTTCTTGTTGAATCACCTTGCTTTAATTAAAAACTTTTATTTATCATTTTACAATTATGGGGAAAACCCACATCCATCTGCCTTATTATGTGCATGGGAAACAAGGTTATTCTCACTTTATATATATAATAGCTCTATTAATTCTTTTGACTTAAAATTTTTCTTTAATTAGCCCTTTATATCACTGTATATAATCTTTCTTGAACCAGCTTCTTTTATATATGTGCATTAGTTTTTTAATATAGCATAGTAACCAGTTATGCTAATTTGCATTTTAGATCTTAAATTTTATTATCAATCTACAGAAACAAAAACAACAAAACTTTTACCTAAACTTAATTTGTGGGACAAGTAGAATTATTTAAACATAAGATACTAATTGATTAGGTTATTAATCAACTACTACATCCAGAATAAGTCAGAGGTTACAACAGAATGAGGGATTGGTTTTAGTACATTGGCTAAATTGTTATACATTACTATAAGGGACTATTAAATAGAAAATGCAACCAACCAATAATTTAAGGTTTCCAAATAAACATTTATTAGATTCATATGCAAAGAACTGTAAAACAGGGTTTCTATTTAGTCATCTTAATATCTAATTTTCATAATTTTATATATATCAAAAATAATGTCCAAATTATGACAGTTTTTCATCAGTAAATTATTTCAGAAAAGCATAATTATGATATTTACTTCTTGTTAACATAGTTTTAGAATAGTTAAAAGTCAAAATATTTTCCTGTGGAAACAGTGTCTTAATGTTTCAAAGGTATGTCAAATGACAATTTTTAGAAATATTTCAGCCACATGTAAAATTCTAATTTTTAACTGTGAATATAATTTTGTGGAATCATTTTAAGTTAAATATTTAAATATCACAAAGGAATTACTGTACATATATAATAATGTCTGTTTCAATATGTGAATCATCTTTTGGGGGAAGTATTAAGGGAATATGTATATTTTATTTTATGAAGATATTAAATGCAATGCCTTTATCAAACATTGCAAATTAAGTAATATAGAATATTTAAATATCTTAATTACTCATTCTCCTCTTTCATTTCTTAATAGTGTGATAATTTGCTGTGAGATCTTTTATAATGGAGACACTCCTCTTCTCCAATAAAAGGATGGGAAAAAATCCTTAGTGTTCTCAGCATAAACTTTAATAAACTGTGCATTATATTGAATCATTTTACCGTCCAAAAATTACTTACTGGAGTAAAGTTCATCCTTAATATAATTACTCAGGCAAAACATAAATTTTAAGCGGGATAAAGAAAATTATTCACATTACTGACTGATACTAGCGCTGCCCTTTGTCATCGCCCGTGGTTTCCCCCTCTTCCTCGCATTTCTGTGTGTACTTTTAATACCTGAGGACCTAAAAAAAATCCTAAAAAACATTGGTAAACTGGATAATTTTTCTGAAAATCTTATATATTTCCTAATGCAATTTCTTGCGTTCTTTCCCTTTTTCAACTTTCATTTTGTAGTGGTAAAGGCTTTGCATTTAACATCCTTTTTAGCTTCCTTTTTAACAAGAAAAAAAGGGAAATGACAGAATTCCATATATTTTATGCCATGGAGTAGTCAAATTATTTTATATATTGTTTGCACTTCAAGGAATAGCCCTCTGCTAGGTCAAACGGAGTCCTTCTACAGTACTTTGTGAAACTACTGTTCCGTAGAGTATCTTTTTTCCGTCTAACACTCTGCGTAGGTTTTAGATGATCGCATTCTGTGAGAATGCAAGTAGATGGGTGCCGCCAGAGTATTGCAGGCAATAATATGACTAAAATTCTATTGCCTTCGGTGTGCATGCATGTATTTCTAATCACTGTTATTTTTAAGTATTTGTAAAGTTAGAAAAATGGCTTTTATTTCTTGAAAACTTGTCACATGCATAGTTTGAAGTTTTACACTCCAGATGTTTTTGAGTTGCGTGAAAATATGGCATTGACGATGCAAAAAAAAATTTTAATTTTCACAGGAGACTCAAAAGCTTCTGAACGATGGAACTCAGACTTCCAATTCATCCATACATCCTTGAGCTGAAAGTAAGCAGGGAATTTCTGCTCTAGACACATTTTTGAGACAGTTATCTGTGAGTGAAAACAGGGTATTATAACAAAAGATGAGTTTAAATCTTAACTATAGTGTTTGTTACTGTGAATGCTATAATAATACATAAGTAAAATGAGTGTATATGTAATATATTATTTTATACTGCTGTATACATATGAAATAAATAAAACTAGGATACATATTATGCCAGTTTTCCATGCATGGATCTTCCACTGACGCCGGTGGGATCTTTGAATAAAATTCAGTGGCAAAGTATGGCCCTAAGTTTAAAAACAACTAATGCTGATTTAGTAATTTCAGTTTTAATAAAACAGGTCCAAGGGGACATCTGCTCAAAACTGAGTCTCATTCAAAGCAACATATGTTAGGTTTAAAGGATTTCACTATATTTATAGTTTTGAAAGTAGGCATTTAGTCCCATATGGTTCCCATGATACCCACAATGAGCATCTTAAACATATATTTTCCACTCGATGTTATATTTTCTTTTTAGATTTTTGATTTGCAGTAACACAAGGGGTCTATAAGGATTAATATAGAGGCTATACATAGAATGTGAGTGCCTTCAAGTAATAAAAGAAAAACGTATCTAAAATTTTAGAGAAAAATATTTCACATTTGGTCGATAGAAACATAAGGAAAAATAAAATGTACATGGGTATCATTTTTCAAGAAGAAAATATAAGTTAAAGTGTAATCTAAAAATAATCCGAACAAATTTATAGAAATTTACATTCTGAAATGGCAGAAAGGTAACAGAAGCAATGTGCTTCTTAATCTCATGTATAATCTATAAAACTGGTTTCCTTAAATTCAAACGACACATGTCTGGACAGAGGTTAATTTTATGACGAAACAAGGGAGAGGGCTAGGTATTTCTCTTGCTCCGAACATCTATTAAAGCCAGCGCTATGGTGGACAAGACCTACATAAAATATACAGAAATGGTAGTTCTCAATGAATCACTAACAGTTATAATTACAACTTGCTCTGGTTCCCCTGTCCCTAAAGTTTACCTTTTGTGAATCATATCATGAACTCTT